TCCCTGTCCTTCCTGTTAAAGTTCGAATCTTTTGATCCGATTTTTGTGTAAATCTCTGTTTCTGGTCCTTTTTTTAAGGTCTGCGAAGATGTAGCAAGAGCTGCAGATTGAGATGGACGAATTATCTTCGACCCGGTATTAAGCGCGGTAACTTCACGGAGCATGAAGAGAAGATGATTATACACCTTCAAGCTCTTTTGGGCAATAGGTATGCATGTTACATATGTCGATGTATTTACACGCATATACATACACACACCTAAAACAATATCTTTACTTTCTTAGAAAATCTACCTTTTTTTTTATGGTGGATATATGGTACACTATACAATCATTTGTCAATATTTAAACAGCAGAACGTTAAATCTGTACTTGTGTATGTGTGCAGATGGGCAGCCATAGCATCGTACCTTCCGCAGAGGACTGACAATGATATAAAGAATTATTGGAACACTCACTTGAAGGAGAAGCCGAAGAGGACGAATGGCTCTGGAGATGATGAGCACTTGTCTACGTCAAACCCTAATTCTCTAAATCGCCATCAAACTTCTTGCAAAGGCCAATGGGAGAGAAGACTTCAGACGGACATCAACATGGCCAAACAAGCACTTTTGTCGGCCTTGTCCCTTGACAAACCACCAACGACACTAACATCATCACCATCACCATCGTCGTCATCATCATCATCAACACTCCAAAACCCTAGTTTCCCAATCGACCGTTATGATCCATCATCTTTATCTTCATCCACCATCACCCCCACCGCAAGCAACGCTAATCCATACCCGTCAGGCCTATACACGTCGAACGCTGAGAACATCGCTCGGTTGCTTAAAAACTTCATGAAAGACACTCCAAAGTCGCCATCTCCCGCGTCAGAAATCGAACCGGCCAACGTGGCAGTAGCTCGGAGAAACCTCCGAGCCACCGTGGCGTCAAGCCCCAGCACCACCGAAGGTGGCGGAGAAGGATTTGACCAGTCTATCCTCGGCTTCAGCTCGGCAAACCTAAAGTCCATGTCTATGAATCAGACTCAGACTTTGACACCGGAGACAAGATCCTTCCAAGAACATGAGACCAAGCCAACGACGGCAGACCACGGATTAATATCACAAGGGGCCTTGTCATTACTAGAGAAATGGCTGTTTGATGACCAAGGTCACGACATGGTTGACCCGACATTAGAGGGTGAAGAAGGGTTGCTCTAGCGAGGCGAAAAGGAAAAAACTTGGAAGTTAACTCATCAATCAAATGTAGAAGTCAATGATCTTAATTAGGGTTTTCGCGCAAGGATACGTACGGTTTTTCTTTAAGATCTCTCCTATATTGAAGAAGAACACAAACAGCACATAATGTGCTATACTTTGTGCATCGTTTTGTTGGTGCGGGATTTATTTGAGATTTAAGATTATCATGAAACGGAAAACTGTTCTAAATGTTATAAATTAATTATGGTTTTAACAACAATTATCTTCCGAATCCATCGTAAATTTTGAAAGAAAACTACAATTAAATTATAATGCATAGATTCTACCTACCAGTTTTAATACACGATATGACAATTAATGATTCTCTTTCGAATTCTGCAGTATTTTGCATTGTCAAGTGACATATCGCATAATATCATCGATCCATACCTATAAGAAGGTTTTATCATTAGTTGTTGATTGGCCATAAATAAATATGTGAAGAGAAATAATTAATAAGAACAAATCCAACCCATCAAGTGATGTGGAAAGTATGATTGAAAGCTAAATGCTTGTGGACACATAACAGTGATAATTCATAAATGTGCGAATAGAGGTAATTAAGGGAAGTTCGTATCACATGCATACACGTAACACACACACACACACATATACATACGGATATAAATATATATAATAAACTTTAGAAGTTATAAGCAAACACAGAATAGAATAAAATAAAAATTGAAAGGAATAGAAATGGGGGTATTTATTTCACAACATGCGAAGGGTTTGACTTCTGCGTGTGGAAAATCATAAGCAAGAGCTTAGGAAAATACGTTACAAAATTTGGCAATTAATCTTTACGGGGCAAAATTAAGAAAAGTTCAGAACTTTTAGTTTGCCGTAAATGTAAATACTACGTGGCACATACAAGTAACCAGATATGGATAGGCATCAGAAAAAACAGAGCAGAAGAAGAACATACACCAAATCAATGTTTTTCCTTAAACGTTGTCGCCAACATTCTCTTCCGCGAGAACGAAAACCTACTGAAATCCAATTCGATAACTAGAAAAAAATAATGCAAATTATCATTGTATCCCGATCCCACATAGCACAGAGAGAGAGAGAGAGATGGCAATGAACATGCCGGATCTAAGACATCATATTCTTCTGCAAGGGAGACAAGTACAAGATTGGTCTCACCACCGGTGTGGTCTGAATCATTGCGGGGATGGTTCTTGGCGGGGATTCGATACGGATTCGGGCGCAGCGATGAAGTGCAGCCCACGGCGTTGACCTCCATGCAGCATGAATGCCACTTCCGCTGCTGCCATCGCCGCTGCTTCCTGATTTCACAGGACAAAGTACATTGAATACATGTTAAAAACCACTCTGAAACATATTGGATGCAAAGCGAAATGCTTGCTTTAGAGCTTGATTCATCTGGGCATGCTCGGAAAAGCGATCTTGAACTGTTCGGATGCGTTTTGAGTTGGATTTTCGCCAAGAAACCAATAATATTGTCGTATAACGATGACCAAAGGAGATATAGATTCCTTACCTGTCTTTGCCTCCGACGTTGTAGTATACTGATGGCCCATGCCATGATGTAACAGGGGAGGAGAAAACCCGCAGCACGAAGAAGGAAAAGCTGGCGAAACCCGAACAAAAAAAAAATACACGACATTAGGAACGAGAATAGCAAAATACATTCTCGAGCTAAACTGTAGAGAACATACAGAGAAGAATGTGGACGGATCATCTTCTTCATCTGAGTTGGTCGTGATGTTCAGGGCATGTCGTAACAGTAAAAGCGCCATTAGCTGCAGCAACGATAAAAAAACAGCAAACTCGGACCATCACTGGACGTATTGCCTCTTTTTTCGCGTTTATATTATCGTTTCTACACGGAAAAAACGATAGAAGAAACAAGGGGGAAACGATGAATGACTTACAATGAGAGCGGCAGAGCGACAAAAGGCGGCTCCACTGGAGTTAGAGTCAGAATACTCATCATAGTCCGAGTCCAGGAAATGGCGTTCTGCAGCTGCCATCGCCAAAAGACGTGGGTCGTTCAAGTCAAATGGACCACCGTTTGACCAATCGTTACTGCAAATAAAATCAACCGAGAAATTTGCCTCAGGCTAACTGAGAAAATGTAATGTCTCTTCCCAGTGTACACTGTACAGATAGAATTATCTAACGAAACCCGAATCCGGACATTTTCATGATTTGTTTCAGTAACATACCATGTCGAGGGCAAGGTTTTCATTAAATGATCCATGAACATGGAATTTTCCAATCAACGATATATTATTTTACGATATTGGGAGATATATACAGATTCAGAGAGCTTACCCAATGTCGATTATGGTATCATCGGGAGGAGGAGGCGGGGGAGCCGTATAACCGGGTTGGTAAGTCTGCAAAAGATCGCGGAGAAAAAACACGATATCGTATTTAGAAATGTAAAACTTACATCCCATATACAATTTATAAGCGACCGTCAAGAATCAAGAACTGGGTTATCACTGATTCATTTCTCCATCTAAGATCGAAATGAAATTTGCATCAGAGATGGACCGAGAATTAATATATACAGTTAACAATAGTGAAGTATTTGGCGAAAAGATGGAGCATATGCATCTGAATGAACATAGACATGGAAATGAGTGAGTACCTGATGGCATATTTCACAGGTTATATCGCCCTTCTCGTTACACCAACGCTGAACGCATTTCCGATGAGCATACTGGAAAGAATCAAAACCCACGAAAGGAAATTCAGATGGATTCCAAAACTTGGAGAAACCGTAAAAGTTTACCTTCAGACTGCCACTACAAGCACAAGGCGCTTCCAGGTTCTTGACGGTATCCTCCTCTTGGCATATGCGGCATTCGACGGATTGGATAAGTGGTTCCTCTTCTTCAGAGACATCGTGTTCCCTGGCTGCTTCCACCGTTACAGATGGGTCGGCAGGTCGAGGGACAGAGCTTTCTCCGGAATCTGACCCTCTTTCGGTGTTTAAGCTCTCGGACGTTATGAGGCGTGCGGTACATAAACTCAGATGATCAGCCATTAGTGCCAATGCAAGAGCTTTGACCTGTAAATCAAAGGCGAAATCGAATTTCGAGAAATGGGTTATCCAAACAATGAATCACTAAAAGCAGAACATCCATGGAAGATATGTCATAGATGCAGATAAGCATTTCAACCCCATGAATTGTACAGAAAAAAAAAATCCTTTTTTTCCCGAGAAACGCCGGGATGAGATTTTGCCGATGCGATGATCGATTCAAACATAATTTAGCTCAGACAAGCATCTTCTTCTCTCAAGGCGAGATCTTCCTTCCCTCAAAGGGAACAATTCCGGGAAAATTCTCTTCACGAGACGTATGTATAGCATCAGCAGATGAGCAAAATTGGGTTTCTTCCCTCAAAGTATCAAATTTTCCTCGATTTTCTCAGCAACCAAACAAATACCCAATCCATAAATCCCAGATTTCAGAAACCCATTTCAACCCACCAAAACGCAAAACGAAGTTCCTTCGATCCCACCAAACGATCTGACCTCCCAGAACGAAACCCTAACATTCTGAAAACTCAAATTGCAATCACGAAGAACACAGAACGATATCAAACAAAAAATTTATTACCTGTGTAAATTATTACAAGAAAAGAGAAACTCTTTCGATCTCTGGAAACGCAGCTGAAACGAAACTCGCTCAAAGTCGTTCTCTTTTGTGTTCGGTCTGAAAAATCAGATGGTCGTAGTCCAAGATATATTTTCCGAGCGCGTGAATATATATAATATAAAATAAAATTATATATACACACATATCTGTAGATGACGTACATGTATGGTTACGGCATGATGAGGTTAGGCTTAACGTCCGTTAAAACGGCAAGCTGAATGAGTACGCAAAAAAGGGCTTTGCTCAGCTTCAACGATAACAGAAGACGTTACGTGGTACTGTTGTTATCTTGACTTTTTGTTTTGGTAAGACGATTATTTTTACCAGGATTTCGTATCGATTGATGAAGTGTATAACATCAAAAATATGATCAACAGATTTGAATAATAATAAATATTATTTTGTGACAAAATAATGCCGTAAATATAAGTTAACAGATAATCTCTATATTACGGTGAAGATTATAAAGAGAAAGTTCCATACCCTAACTAAAAATATCAAATATTTTTCTTTATCTGAAAAATCTATTTCATGTTGGAGATATTCCTATACTGTTTTCGCATCGATTTAAAATATTTTTTCATAATTGTTTTTTTGTAAGAAATAATTCTAGTTCAAATTCCATAATTTTTATAAAAGTTACAGGAAATTAAAGTACTTTGAATTTATTTTTTTTAATTTTAAGTTCCATCTTATTTTAAAGTATACTCGGTCATTTTACCACTAATTTTGCATGAAAAAAGAAAGAAAGATTTTTTGTCAAATATATTATACCCATAAATAATTAAACAAAGAGGTAACAGAGACGAATCGAACCGAACCGGAAGAGAACCAAATATAGAGAGACCGGTTAGTAGGTTTCTTCAGGACCATTAGTCACTCGCCGCAGGCCTAAAACCCTAATTACTCACAGTAGAGAGAAAAGCAAAGGGAAGAGGAGTAAGCCAAGAAGAGAATCCAACAATGGCGGAGCAACAGGAAATCACAGGTTCCGTGTCGATTCAGGTGAATCCGGACGTGACGGAGGACATGGAACTCGAATCCGTACCGAAAGCCGAGGCGGGAGACGAGACGGCGGGGAAGCGGGAGAGAGAGCATGAAGGAGAGGAGGGAAACGGCGAAGTTTCAAAGAAGCAGAAAGTGGAAGGGGAAGAGAAGTCTGTGGAGGAGGAGAGACTGGAGAAGGATGATAAGACGAACGGGTCGGGTGGGGCCAAGCTGGGTCCGAAGGAGTTCGTCTCTTCAGTTGAGATGTTTGATTACTTCGTCAAGTTCCTACACTTTTGGCCTACTGATCTCGATGTCAACAAGGTATCACATGACATGGGTTGCTTGATTTTCCGGTTCTTCTTCGGTTTCTGAAGTTGCCAATTTATTTTCCTGGTGAAAAAAGTTTGCATCTTTTTCCTGACTGCAGCATTGTTGAACTCGCTCTTGGCTTAGTCTCTGTGATTAGGGTTTCTGGATATTGGGTATTGTTGTGTGTATATTAGTGGGACTGATCATGCAAAAGTAGCCATAAGGGTGCATTTTAGTGGTAGTAGGATGAGATAATGGGTTAACTGGGTTCTTTGGCAGAGCTTTAATTCGACCATTGCTTCTGAGCTGAAGCTCGGTTTAACGTTTTGATCATTTGGGTGCTGGGAGAGACATAAAACATTGTAACATGACATGTTAATGTCTGCTGGCTGCTGATTTAATGGTGACTCTGGTTCCATCTTGCCAAGTTTGTAAAAGTGCTGAAACTTGGGGAGCGTCCATGTTCATTCTGATTGAGCTGACATGTCGGAGTTGGATTTTATAATTCTGATGATCTTGTTTGCGCATCCATCTCTCTTGGTGGATTGAATCAGTTGCATAACATGTTTATGAAATCTGTTTCCTTTGCGTTTGTGATGGTATGTTTCAGTACGAGCATACGGTGCTGCTAGATTTGGTAAAGAAAGGTCATCCAGAGCCCGAGAGAAAGATCGGGGGAGGGATCAAAGCTTTCCAAATCCGAAACCACCCGATGTGGAAGAGCAGATGCTTCTTCCTGGTAAGGGAGGACGACACTACAGACGACTTCAGCTTCAGGAAGTGTGTGGATCATATCCTCCCATTGCCCGAGAACATGAAGGCTCCAAAGCCTGGCAATGGCGGAGGAGGAGGAAGAGGGGGAAGAGGGGGCGGTCGTGGTGGCGGAAGAGGCGGCAGATTCAGAAAATGAGGTCAGGAAATTTGGAAGCTTTGAGCACTATGAAAGCAAGATAACTCAAAAGCTGCGGTCTTTGTTATATGGTACTAATCATATAATTACTGCTTATATTTCTTGGATTTTGATCTGTTTATGTGATGCAACCCTATTACTCGGACATCGGTGTTTCAAATGAACTCCTTGGTGAGCTCCTTACCCTAAAAAAAGATTTGGTTCTCTGATCAGCCCTGTCCGCCTCCGCATTTCCCTCATCCGGAACTTATCTTCCACCACTTCCGACTAGCATTCATTCCCCTACGTTGTTTGAAATGGTTTTTGCTTGTTTCGATGGATTGGATTATCCAAATTCAATCCCGTTGTCATGAATATTATCCGATTTCGAATTCAAATCTATTTTGGTCGATATATGTGACAGAATTTTAATACAAATTCTTAATTTTTTTCGAAATAAATATTATATACAAGCGAACTCGCCCTCAAACACGTGTTTTTTGGTTCGGCGAAACGGCAGAAAGTGATGGAACTGCGACCTTTCATGAAGGAGAATGGAATTCAGACAACCCCCTGGCCCTGGTTAAACTTAAAATCATTATCGAGTTTGCAGTAGACGACAATTACGGAGTGCTCCGACAGATCCGATCAGCAGTTGAGGATCACGGGAAAACGAAACACTTGCAAAAGCTGTTGTTTCAAAATCTCGAAACTGTCTCAGACGAGACAATTCCTCGGTCCTGAATCTACATTCTTTATTCTACAACACCAACCGTCGATCTGATCGAAGGAAGAAGACTCATAGGAAACAAAAAACGCGAAAGAAACTTGAACTGATCAGAAGAAAAATGTTACCGGGCTCTGTCAGGCATCCATCCCGGTTTAGTTTGCCGCAACAGTTGGCTTGTTAACGAATGAGATACCCTTCTCGATGCTGGCCTTCAGTTCCGGCTTAAGACCTTCCAGAGCCTTCTGCTCATACTCGGTCAGTCCCTGGAAGTCAGACTCGATCACAGCCTCAACACCGTTCTTCCCAAGCTTGATCCGTGATGCAAAGAAGGGAAGTTCAGTCAGACTCGACTCCACAAACGAGCATTCGTAAACGTCTCCATCTCCATCCAGAGCACGGAGAGATGACTCGACAAATCTGGCTGCAGCATATGCCATTGACAAGGTGGCTGATCCTGCACCAGCTTTTGCTTCCACAACTTCAGTCCCAGCATTTTGGATCCTAACTGTCAGCTCTTCCACTTCTCCATCGGTGAAGTTGACAGACGGTTTGGTTTTCGAGAGAAGGGGCAGAATCGTGATCCCGGCATGGCCACCGATAACTGGAACATCCACATCTATGAGTTTAAGGTTCTTTTTCTGAGCAACAAATGTGTTTGCCCTCACAACATCCAGAGTGGTGACACCAAAGAGTTTCTTGGGATCATAGACACCTTTCTGTTTCAAAACTTCCGCGGCTATCGGTACTGTGGAGTTAACCGGGTTGCTGATTATGTGGATAAAGGCATTAGGGCAGTTATCAGCAACAGCCTCAACCAAGGTTTTCACGATGCCGGCATTGATGTTGAAGAGATCATCACGGGTCATACCGGGTTTTCTTGGAACTCCAGCCGGGATAACAACCACATCCACATCTTTCAAACAATTTGCCAACTCAGCAGCTCCGGTGAAATCCAGAACTCGAGAAGGGGTGTTGCAGTGACTCAAATCAGCAGCAACCCCCTTAACATTGGCTATATCATAGAGGTGAAGGTCAGAGACCAAAGGGGACATCTTGATAAGAAGCGACAAAGGCTGACCTATCCCTCCACCAGCTCCAAGAACGGCCACTTTGTACGAGGCATTGATCTGAAGCCCGTACGGCTTTTTGTCAGATGTTTGGGCTTTAGGTGCAATAGAAGCACGCAGAGCCTTGGTGAAGGAGGAGGAATCCAGCCCACAGGCCAGAGATGTCGCTGCTTTGAGACCGCAGAAACTAGGGAGCGAGTTATGAGGGTTGAGTTTCACAGCTTGGGTCTTGGATTGAGCAACTGAGCTTGCTCGAGGGGAAAACGAAACAGATGATCCAACCGAAAAGGTAGATGTCGCTGCTGCCGCCGCCATTATGTCCTGATTTACAAACAAAAACAAAAAGCGCATCATGGCTTATGTAACACACAGATTTAGCTATCCCTCTTTGTCACCGAAATTGCAGCTATCATACCAATGAGCAAAAGATTTGGACCACAGAAAGAGACGGCACCATAAGCATAAACTGATGAAATTTTACATTCCAATTAGCTCTATTTCCCCATTGTCAGACTCCCAAAGCATAACTAGGTTACGAGAATAGAACATGTATCTGGTTTAACATTCAATATGTCAAATGAAACCCAGACATGATTTCTGGGACGTTATACAAATGATACGAGTTTCGATCCACAATTGCACTACGCGAATGTTTTTTTCCTGTAAAAAGGACAAAACGACGAACCAGAGAACAAGCGAAGTGCAAACACCAAATCTGAGAGATATTAGTCCCCTGAGCGAATAACGAGGAGATACCATTCAACACGAAAGACGACGAAGCAGAGAAATAAAGGAGAAAAATAACAGCACTAGATCTCGATCGACGGACCAGAAAAACCTCGGAATTTTTCCGAGAAAGCTGCTCAAGCAAGATAAATCAACCCAGAGACAACCACTCAAACGAGAATCAAATTCCAGACGCGAGAACAAAAAACACACTCACACAAAAAACTGGAACCGTTCGCAACAGATCAGAACCGAAGAAGAAGAAGATGAGAATCTAACCTGACCTACGGGAGAGAGCTTCTCGATCTGGAAGGGGCTTCTTGTGATTTCCTCTGCGTTCACCGGCTCAGGTGCGGCCCTTGCAAGGAGATTAGTAGGTGAGGTGAAGGAAGATTAAAAAATTAAAAAATACATTAAAAAAAAATAAAAAAGGGTAAAATGTAAGGACGCTGTTTTGGATGTCTCGTTGGCTCCGCCAAGGGGTGGTCGAAAACTCACCCTTCCCTTTTTAGGGTTTTAATTTCGGTTCTTATTTTTTTTTTTCCAATTTAGAGCCATTGTTGTGTATGTTTATTCCATTTTTACATTGAATTTTATCAGATTCCTTCCGTATTCGGAAAATTTTGCCTGAAATATAATGATATTTTTATAAGGATTTTTTAAATAAAATATTCGACGAGATATTTACTCTCATCGTATTTCAAAAATTAAATTTTTTTAGAGACAATTCAATGAATATTATATTGAAGCAAGTTTAGACTTCAACCGTATTACGTATCAGATATAAATATTAAAGTTTTTGATGTAGACACGATGAGATTTGAAAAGAGGACCCAATATAATTATGTTAAAATAAAAATATTAATTATTTGTAGTTTATATAGATAGCGGTCTACGCGTGTACGTATTATATAGTATTAAGCCATGTTGGGAATCAGCATCATATGCATTTGACACGGTTACGATGATGCAATTATTGCACTCCCAACACCAAATTGTCGATTTTTAATTAATGCCGAAATGATTAAATAAATATTTATTTTTTAATCAAATAGTTGAGATTCGCATATGCATGGACTTCGCATAAGCTAGTTTTTGTCTGCGTAGAAAAAACAATATATATATATATATAAGATCCTTATACAATTCCAAAAAAATATATAAAAATAATTTTAAGATTTAGTTTATAGTGGAGTTGGGGGTCTCAATTAAAGCAAAAAGTTCGGTATAATCAAATTTTAATTTTGATCGAGAAAAGAAACCCTAAAACTTGCGAGTGGTGGTTTGTTTGTGGCATCCACCCAAATATTTTCATTACACTAAATTACAAATAATAAAGCTAGGACAATTAAGTGATATATGCACGGTTTGGTCCGCACACGTTAATTATCTTATATTAAGATCGGATATAAATCTCTTCGCCCATACATATATGATACATCGATCCATGTGTATGTAGTGTATTCATATCAGAACATGGATCATCTACATGACAACCACAATACATGGCTTATTTTTTTCTCTTAGGAATTAAAGAAAAGTTATGTTATATATCTAGTGACTGGTTATAAATAATTGGACATACATTTTTCATTTAAATTAAGAGTCTCTTGATTTCAACAGTCGATACAGCCTCTACCGAACTGTTGGCGAGGAACATGGCGGTTGTTGGCACCTGAACCAGGATAATCATCGAGCTCCACCATCATCCTCTCCCCATGCTCCTCTTCTTCTCTTCTTTTCTCCTTCACTCCCTATATATATATATATATATATATATCAAATCGATTTATGACAAAACAAAACAAAAAAGCTATGAAAACATCGAAACATATTACTTTATCAAGTACTAACCAGAAGCGTATCTTGTTGAGGTTGATAATAAACGTTATTGGTTCGTTCGATAAAGCTCCCAACCCCTGAAAATAAACAAAGGTCGATCAGAACTCTGCACTGCGACTGTAATAGAGAGAGAGAGAGAGAGAGAGAGAGAGAGAGAGAGAGAGAGAGAGAGAAGTTACTAGAAGCATTGGAGGGGGAGATCATGAAGAAAGGAGATAGACTCAAGAAGATCACAAGTAGATGGAAGAGAGTGTTGGCCATTGGATTCGACACAGAAACAAATGATGTGTTTCTTTGAAGCCTTAATTTTGAGACAAAAGAAAACCCTTATGAGTTCAATTAGCTCTGTCTTCGTTATGGATTCGGTTTTAAAGCCAAGTTCCTCCAACAATATATATACTTATATATATACCATTGGACTTTTGTGAAAAATAAAAAGGTAAAAATAAATAAATAAGTATGGGGAATTTCTAAATCCGATACGGGAGAAGGAAAGTGTTGAGTGTTGTGTTGACAAACCAAGTGAGAACAAAACCAAACGGGGGAAAAGCTGGTCGGGCCACCACTACCCCTTGTATGTTTTCTTTTCCCCATTGACACGTTTTCACTGCGTTCCTTTTTCTTTTTATTTTTTTATAATTCTATTACTTTTTTAATATAAAGATTTTTGTGATTATATATATATATATATACACACACACACACTGAAGTATTTGTTGTAGATATCGATTTTGTAAATTTTTTATGTAATTTTTTAAAAAGAAATTTAAATGGTTTACGTGTGAACCAACATGACCACGAAAATTCGAGCGTGGCTGATCGATGCTTCTTAAAGCTGAGAATTGTGGGACCTCGCTTTCTATTTGGCAATCGCATTGCATGTGTACGAATCTGAGATCGTTCCCATTCATTTTCTGACTTAAATCAATTTTAAAAGGAAATCTGAATATCCGAAAACATATATATATATATATATATTATTTTATAACGGAGAACCCCTAACTATTACCCTTCGGACGCACTGATTAGGTAAACTTCCGGTCTGAGAGGAGGGATTATATAAACCCAGAAATTACCTCCCTCCCCACTAGCCCGAAATCGAACACTCAACCTCAAGATGAAATTACCTCCTACCTCAAACTTGACCACTCGCCTACGATCTGTTGGATGAAAACAGATATAATTACTTATTATACCCTTTAGTTTTGTATTTGTTGATCCAAAAACGATATACACACCTTATTTTAATTAGATCCATGTATTAGGATTTGTCTTCTTAAAACTTTTCTTTTTTAAGTAAAATTATATTCCCATTCGTTAATTTTGGTATATGATCATATGAAATATATAGATATATGGAGGAATGGAGTGGATGAATTCCAAAAACTCCATATATATACACGCACACGCATGGTGTACGTGTGAATAAATACATATCCCATTTTTTTTCGAAATAAATTTATAAGTTAATTAGCATTTAATGAAGACGAAGGAAAGGGCCAATGATATGCAACTAAATTAATATACATGGTAATGGAAGTGGAAGGTCCAAAACCACGAACAGTATATAAAATAATTGATTAATATTGTAGAATAATATGATTGATATAAGCAAGTGCAGATTGTGATATGCGTGGAAATTAAAGCTAAGGCACTTAATCATGTCTCTCCTCCCTTTGCTTTGCCATATCACCAAGATTTAGTGGGCAAAATATCGCATATTCTTTACATATTCTTCATTTTATCTCACTTTTTTTTTGGTAACCGGATATTTTAAACCGGAGTCTAGATTAATCCAAAACCCGGATAAGCTTTACATATTTAATCATGAAATTAGGTTATATCAAAATGTGCATTAAATAAGCTTTTATTTTTTTCAATATTTATATTTTTATCACATCATTTAAAAAATATATGGGTTTTTTTTTAAGTATTAGAGAGGTTTTTTAAATTGTTGAAATGTAGACAGTTTTTTTATATTTTTTTTAGCGGTTACCCATGCATATGATTACAAACTTTTATTTTATATAAATTGTCCAAGAAAAAGGTAAGTAGAAATAATTTCGGGTGATCATTATCTAGGGTCATGCCCTTATGTATGTATATATATATTGGTAAATTAATCATGCCCTTTTTATATTAACTTTTTTTCTTCTTGAAATCAAACATGAAAAAGAAACTTTTGGGGGCTTGCCCTTTGTGCCAAAATGTCAAATTCCATAATGTCAAAGAAGAAGTAAAAGAAATCCACAGATTGGATATGGGAAGTCTTCCCAATAAAATAAGTCAATTAGGAAAACAAAATAATGAAAAATCAAAGGTGGGCTTAGGTACGCCCTCCTCTCTTTATGCCCAATTGTTTCCCTTCATAATTTTTTTTATTGTACTTCAATTTTTTTTTTTAAAAGTTTAGAATCGACTTATAACATATTGTATGGTAGAAATTTAAGGAATAATTAGACTATTATAAGCAAATAAATTTTTAAAATATGTCTTTTTATCCCTTTAGTAATCATTTAAATCATAGGATAACATGATCTTTAAATCATTTGGACTAAAAATTACATAACAGTTAAGCGTAAAATATGTTAAAAAAATAAAAAAACTAAATTTCGAATTCAATCATAAAATATATAAAAAAATCTTTAATACAATTTCTAACCTAGTATTGAATATAATATATATAAATAAATTTTAAAAGAAAATATACACACACGGTTTTGGTCAACCTAAGGCTTTTAACGGGCCTATATTGGGTCACTAAAGGATTATAATTATGGGCTTATTGAAAAAATAAAATATGCAACACAGACAGATAGACACACACACATACATACATACATACATACATGATGATCATGCAAGCGATGTATCATTATGTGTAATATACGATACAACAAATACTGATATCTAATCATCTAGATTTTTAATGCAAAAAATACTCTTATAAACAACCGTCTTTTATTAAAATATTTAAAGCAAATAAAATTAAAATTGGATATAAGTTTTAAATTAAAACTAATATAATTTTTCCAAACACGAAAAACTCAAATTTCAAAAATAATTGTACCGAAAACATTCAAAATCCGAAATAATCCTCTCGATATTTGAATATCTATAATTTAGTCAGATTTATTAACTTTTCCCCATCCACATCACAAAATATTATCATGCACACAAAAAAGGTTTTTTGTTATAAAAAAAGCTCAATAAAACAAAATTAAATATAAGAAAGGCGCCACTAGTTTTCTCACATACAGTTTTTATGCCCAGTAAGCGAACAATGCTATGATAAATGGTGTGCATAATCTAAATTAATTATGGTAATTAGTCTTTGTCGGTCCATAAAAAAACGTCATTATACAAAAGTTATTTTTAAAAAAGGCTTGCAATAATTTCTGAACTCACTGAGCTGCTCCCACTTGGCTGTCTTTGCTAACGTCGATTTAATTTTATATTTCTTTTATTATTTTAAAGGTTAGACGTGTTGCTATTTATAATTAAAAAAATAACTTTATTATTTGCTTGTGCCTTTGATTAAATTAATATATTTTAAATTGACATTTTTCACACACCGAAAGATGGAAAAAAGTTGGTGTTGGGAACTTTTTTATTTTTTTTTACTATATTATATAATAACGTATGTTATTATATCATGTTTATCTTATTTTACGTATCACTTGGCAGGTTATAACAACTACAAATCAATCGACCAAATAAAACTTTGGTTATACATATAAAATTATATTCTTTTGTCAATATGGAAAAATATCCTATTCCTATATGCTTTATCAATAAAAACGTCGCAAATTCTACATATGCGCAGTCACAATTTGTAAACGATTGAACTTGTAAACATATAGCTTTTATTTTTTTATTTTACCAAAATATAACTCACTGCAAAACCTAAATTGAAAATGATTATTATATTCATTTATAATTTTATATAGCCGAAGCATTAATGAAATCACTGTTTGAATTGGATAAAATTGTTTATATATAATTTAGATATTTGAAATGCCTTCATCATCTATTATTTTCCCCATCCATTTTAATCTTTCTTGAATTCGACTTTTTACTATATAAACTTACAATTGTTTTTTTAACTAATTCAAATTAGAAGTGATTTTCTTATCACCCAGTTCAGGGGACACGTGTTCGCATCGCGTGAGATATGTCGAATAAAGGTCCAAAGAAAAGCCTTTGAAAAGCAAAACAGTCTTATCTAGTCACTAAAGCAACCTTAATTAATTTTATTATTAATATAATAATGTATAGTAGAATATTTTCATATTAGATTTTATAATTTCATCTCCCGAACATATTTAATCGTTTTATTATAACTAAGTTTTTTTTTGGTAAAAATGTGAACAAGATTCGATACTTCTATTTTTTATTTTCTATATTCAGATTTTATCGATGATTAATGTAATATTACAAGTTGAGAAAATAAATTACTACAGTCAGTTAAAGTCTTGCCACAATTCCGTAACAGTAAAAATGTTTTCTACGTTGCATTAATTTAAAAACCGATTAGGAGTGACCATAAATATTTTTTTATATCAATTTTCTTTTTAACCGGAAAAATCAAACATGACTCAGCCAAACACGTGTAGGAATTAGATTGTTCCAATCTGTCTTTTGCTGAAATCTATGGGAGACAGTATGGGACCCACACTAGAATCCAACGTGTCAAAAGGCAGAGTTTGATTTTGATCCCCATTTTTGTACAATGTGGCAGAGTCTCGGAAACCTTTTTTCTAACAACCAATCATGTGACGCCACGTCATTTCAATTTCTGACATTAAATCTCCGGTCTCCTCATCTGAAGGTACAAACCGCTCCGCTCTGTTTTTTTTTTAATAATATTGTTTTTATTAAATTGCAGTTTTCACCCTCCAATAATATTTCGTTTTTAATATTTTAATTTTTTTCAAGCATTCATATATAATTATAAATTTCGAAATCTCTTTTGCACATAATACAGTATTTGTATAGAAACCCATACTAACTTTGAATTTTTTTTAAAAATTATATTGATACTTCAAGAGTAAAAGAATAATAATCTAATTGCAAAATAAGAAGAAAAAATCTCATGAAAATTATGAAATCGGTATTTATTTTCATTTTTTCCAATCACTTTCCAAGGACCAATATTATCCTTATTATAACCAATAGAAAGCAGACACGTATAAGAACAACTCCTCCATGATGCTGACATGTACCAATTGGAAAGCATTTTAACAATTTTCTTAAATTGACTTTTTAGTCCCATTATCAATCGATTTGATAGACAGACAACTACTCGCATTCCAATTTTCCAAAAAATAAATAAGTGATAAACTTCTTCGTATATTTATTTACATTATTTATAATAATTATATTTTTGGACCAGTTTTAATAAAAAAAAAATATTCTTAATTTTTTTCAGCAACAGATCATGAAAGTTCAGTACCCAAATCATGTGTAAAACGATTCTTTTTAAATATAAAATCATTTTATAATATTCACAGAATAAATTTTTGAGTAATTTCTCCGTAATATAATATGGTAACACAGTTACAGGACCCGAGACCCGACCCGAACATGAAAAGGAAAATATCAGAGGCCACATAAACTTGTGGCTGAGAACCGAACCATGATGCTGACGTGGCATCCACCTCTCTTTTAAACGGATCAAAATCCCAAATCCCACGATCCCAACCCAATTTACTCCGAAAAAAAACCCCAAACCCCCCCCCCCAAAAAAAAAAACCAGAGGGAGAAGACGACTGCCCGAATTTTCTCGCGCTTGTTCGGTTGCCGAGAAAAAAGAGGAAAGAAGAAAAAAAGTTATGCTGGAAAGTAGAAATCCAGCGATCAAGCTCTTCGGGAAGAAAATCCCGTTCCCGGCGGCGACGGAGGAGAAGGAGAAGGTCGCCGGAGATGGAGAAGAGGAGAAATCGCCGGAGAAGGTACAGTGACCGGAAAAGAAAGTCGATTCTCTGGAGATTTTGAGTGTGACCCATTTGAAGAAATGGTTAATTAGTTCACGGGTCCTTTTTTTTTTTACTTTGATCGAATTGGATTCATCTGAGTTTCCAGAAATCTAGCTTCCCTGAAAAAGAATGTGCTGAATCAGTTATTTCTCAGTCTTTCCTTTTTCTCCAGTACACATTTTTTCTCTCTCTGTGTTGTTTTGTCGATCGCTTATTGGAGAAACTCTTAAAAGTATCCAATCAGAAGGGGAAACTTCATTTTTCCATTTCAGGGCAAAACTCCAAGTTTCTCTTTTTCTTTTCCTCTTCAATTTGTCCTTTTAATTATCATTATTCTGCGTATTTTCATCTTCTGTTTCACCACTTTACAAGAACCAAAGCTACGCAGGGGCAGACAACTGTACTTCTCTGACCGTTTTCAACTTTGTGTCACTGAAACCCTCTGTCCCCAATCCAATTTTTCCCCCCCTAAACTCGTAATCAGATCGTAATATCCAGGATTTGGGTTCAAGAAGCCCTTTTGTTTTCAGTTTAAATTTGTCTGGATTCAATTGATCATCGTGCCGCAACAGTGTGATGTGTTTCTTTAACGAATCTAAGCAAAATTCCTTGCCTTGTTTCTGATTGGTCTATCGATAAGAAAATATTTTTTTTAAAAAGGTCTCTCCTTTAAAAAAAAAGTCATAGCACTACAGCAGCAGAGCTGCTAAGAGATTCTGGGTTCCCGTAGAGAGTGCTCTTGAAGCAATTTTCTTTCCTTTTCTTCCCCCAATATATATATATATATATATATATATATATGTGTGTGTGTGTGTACATATAGGTTCGGAATATCTGTCTTTATACCTTCGTATTGAAAATTCAAATCAATTCATTGTATTTTTTTTTTCTAGAAAGCAATTTCATTCTATAGCTATTCAGTCTTAAAAATCCCTAAAAGTGGTTGATTTGATGTTCTTGAAGCAGGGTAACACAAGGGACAAGCCTATAGAAGCTGCAGGGCAAGGACTTCCGGAATCTTCGGAGAAGAAGAAGAAGAACAACAGTGAAGATGGTCATAACAGTTGGCAAGATTCCAAATCCAAAGGAGGAGATGAAGACGAGAGCTCAAAGGATCAAAGCGAGAGCACCAACTCTCAGGAGAATGACGAGAAACCGCTGAAGAAGCCGAGCAAGATCCTGCCATGTCCGAGATGCAACAGCATGGACACCAAGTTCTGCTACTACAACAACTACAACATCAACCAGCCTCGCCATTTCTGCAAGGCGTGTCAGAGGTATTGGACGGCTGGTGGGACCATGAGGAACGTTCCCGTGGGTGCAGGCCGTCGCAAGAACAAGAACTCGTCTTCTCATTACAGCCACATGACAATCTCCGAGGCTCTTCAGGCCGCAAGAATAGATTCCACTCATCATCATCCTGGTCTGAAAACCAACGGTCGGGTCCTGAGTTTCGGGCTCCAACCTCATCATACTCCCATTTGTGACTCAATGGCTTCAGTCTTGAACCTCGGTGACCAGAAGAAGGCTCTGAATGGAACTAGAAACGGGTTCCACGGCTTAGGAGACCAAAGGCTCGTGGCCCGGACTGAGCACAGGGACGATTACTCTAATGGATCCTCTGTAACTGTGTCTAACAATCATTCAACAGACGAAGCAAGAGCTTCGAAATGCATGAGGAAGAGCAATAACATGAATGGTTTTGCTTGCATCCCAAGCATTCCATGGCCTTACACATGGAATCCATCGATGCCTCCACCGGGTTTTTTCCCGCCTCCTCCGGGTTTCCCGATGCCGTTTTACCCTTACTGGAGCATACCAATGTTATCTCCTCAATCTTCACCGTCAAGCGAAAAGGGTTCGAGTTTATCCGGACAGAATTCTCCTACATTAGGTAAACGTTCAAGAGAGGAGGGGACAGCCAAAACTGAGGAGCCAGAGAATGCAACAGACATGACAAAACATAGAAACGGAACTGTCTTGATTCCGAAAACGTTGAGATTCGACGATCCTAACGACGCAGCGAAGAGCTCTATATGGACAACTCTAGGAATCAAGAACGACCTGGTGAGCAGAGGAGGGATGTTCAAAGGGTTTGATCATCAGATGGAGAAGAAGACGAAGAACAATGGAACGGCTGAAACCTCGCCTGTCCTGCGAGCAAACCCAGCAGCCCTCTCAAGATTGATCGATTTCCATGAGAGAATGTGACCTGAATCTGAATCCGAATCTGAATCTGAATCTGATCAGTTTCTCAACGAGGTTAAAGAGAATTGGATTTAGGAATTTTGTTTCCTACTTCTGGTTCGTGTTTGTGTTGGTATATAGATATATACACATAAAACCATGTTTATAATGTCTGCTGCATAGATCTGGGAGATAGGTGAAGTTAGACCTTGTCTTTTCTTCTTCCTCGTGACCATATGATGAAGTGCCTTTCAGCCTTTGTTTATAGCTTCTGTATTATATACGTTGAATTTAATGTCAATGTTGTAAAAAAATAAATGATGTCAAAAGTTCGTTTTGGCCGTTGATTACAAAAATTATAAATATGTCTTCATTTTCTTCGGTTGTTATAATTGCTAATAATATTCTTAATCTGCATGAGATATACTTATTATGTAATACCCTTTTTAAAAATATTAGTTGTTTGTATTTTCGTAAAAAAAATAAATATTGTCAAAAGTTCGTTTTGGCCGTTGATTAAAAAATATAAACATTTTTTCATTTTCTTCAACTGTTATAGATACTAATGGTGTTCTTAATCTGCATGAGATATAATTATTATGTAATACCCTTTTTAAAAAACTTTGTATGTATTTTCGTCGTATATATACACATGAAATAATAATTGCAGAGGTGGTGGGTGGTCACGACTGTGTGACAAATAATTTTTTAGGAAAAAAAAAGTCGTATAAGCTATATATTTTATCTGTATTATCATTCGTGCCATCGTCTCTTTATAAATAGTATTGAATAAAATAAAGTGATGAAATTTTCCTTGTGGAAAAAGGCCCATCCTTTTCATGGCGGAAGAACTAATGCCATCTCCTCAAGGGAAAGAACCAATTCTCTAAAAACAATTATTATATTTTTCTAAAGTGGATTAATTTCAATCATGTTGACTTACAAAAAGAACAATAAATATTGAATATATACATGCAATATAATTATGATCTTATAAAGAAATTAGGATTAGTAAAATAATTATAGATTTTTAATCAATATTAATTACCGATGCTTATATTGTCGTTTTTATCACCAAACCCTAAGATAGCAAAATGCAAAATACTTGATGATGCATTAACTGAAATTCAGTTAAGATGTTATGCATGAAAATGACAGTAAGAGGCTCCTTATGATCATTGTCCTTACACGCAAAAAAAAAAAAATCATTCCCATAAATTCTTCTTCTTAATATTTCGCTTATTTACTCTCGCGAATCCTTCCATTAACATGAACCCTAAAGATAAATTTTGGATTTTATTTTCTTGTTTTAGATAATTGTTTTTCCTTTTCATCATGAAATACATATATGTAACATAAAATTATTGATACTATTTTGTTTTTTGTGAAGGAAAAGAATGTGATTGCGTGATTAGTGATTTTACAAACGCTATCTATATATTTGTTGAAGGTAACGCTACGAAATCATAAAAATATATAATAGTTTATATGGTTATATATTTTCTTTTTCTAAACCAGGAGAATAACTCTCGAAATCTGTTTTAGATTTCTATTTTCTTTAAATGTGAATTTCGTTAAAAAAGAATCGGACCCATTCCACGTCGAGACAATTAGAATTTATTGCGATGAAAAGTGCCTTTTTATTTGCATCTTTTTCTTTTCTTTATTTGGGATGCCGATTCGAAGGGGACGAGTCAGTCTTTTTACCAAATTTATTTGGTCCGTGTGTCTGAAAACAACTTGGATATTTTTGGACCGACGAAGCAAATGTTAGCCACATATTTTTTTCCCTCTTTTATTTAATCAATATGATGGATTGTTATCCATTTTAATTTACTATATTATTGCAAATAAACGCATAACAGGTAGTTTATTCCCCCCCCCCTTTTTTTAATTTAGGAGGATACTCGTTTCCTAAAGCAATTTGTGTTTCTCTCTCTTTCTTTTTTTCTTTATGTATTTCCTTACTAATTTATAAATTCCATAAAACCAAATTATCAAAATATGTATGATGGTATACTTGTTAATATTGCAATAAAACTAAATTGTGCGTATATAAATAAACATTCAATTTAACACGTATAATTAGTGGACTGATATTAAAGAATGTGAAAATTTTATATGAAAATTCTGTACATGCATCGATATATTTAAAAGGCTGCATAAATAATATAAAATTATAAATAATTTATGTCTTAAGTAAACATAACAACAAAAACGACAAGTACAAAAATTAAAGGTGCCTTAATATTAGAAAAAAAAAATGATTGAGAATGTTTTAAATGATTAACGTTGTACGAAAAGACAACTAAGACGCATAAACACCACAAACAAATTCTTTCTCTTCTCCTAATCAAATATTTCAATCGGATTTATATATTTAACTAAGATTAGGCTAATTAGCCTAATTGAAGATGTCTGCCTAACTTCTTAAGGGCATTTGTTATTTTGGGGCCTTAAAGATATATTGTTTGGCTAATCTACCCCACTTAATTAGTGGCCACATAAAATCATAAAATAATATTTTTATTTTATTATATTGAAACCAATTATGACAAAGGATGTAGTTTTGAGATTAAAGTGAAAATGCACTCATGGACACAATGACAATTAATCACTTTGACCCATCATCCACATAATTAATTTCCACCAATCTTGTCACCATATTGGCTATGAAGTGCTCTCTCTCTACAAATACACACACACACACATATATATATATATATATATATATATATATATCAATATATGCACACGCAGAAAAGATGAAAAAGACAATAAAGAGGGGTTAAGTGCAAAGAAGCATGTAATGGGGACACTAATTAGTGTTTGACTTTTGTTGATCAAAGTAAAACCAACACTAATTATCAATTAGTATTAAGGGAATGATCAGAGTCAACCATCCACCAAAAACATGCTTATCCTTTAATCTGTTTGCATCCACTCCCACACATTGATACATACATACATACATACATCATACATGCACATGCTCTATATATAGCATCATCATCATGAAGAAGACGAAAGAAGAAGACTCCACATTCATCTTCAACTAGTTTTCAGTACTGTCTACACTTTAGGAGTCAACTCACTTCCTCTTGTTACTGTATAAATATTCTAGAACCTCCGACCTTTCATCCACCACACGATATATATATATATATATATATATATATATATATATCATATTCATCCAATCCAATAAACCCTAAGCTAAAATTCTACGGCTCATAATTGAATAGAATACATATATATACTCTTCACGAAATAAGGCTGTAAAAAAAAGAAGAACCTAAGGAATTCTCTCCGTATGTAACATTTATATAGTTTTGGCTAATGATTCTCGATTTAATATGAATGTTAGTTTTACACGAAGGGAAAAACAACATATTTCAAAATACAAATGATTCCATAACAACTTGTATATGAAAAAAGTAAATAAATAAAAAAGAAAAATTAAAGTTCAGGATAATGCATGTTTCTCTCTTTGATTGGTGTCTAGAGCCTTTAAAGCCTTCAGTGTAAGACTTAGTGGACATATATGGGTCGAACCACATCATAAAAGAAGCAATTTTTATGTCTTTAGGAGAAGAAAAGTGGCTTAAAAATGGAAAAAAAAAAGAAGATAGCAAATTAATGAAAAAAAAGAAAGTAAAGAAAAAAGAAAAAGGTAACAGTTGAATCATCACCATTAAGTGACAACTTAGAAATCAGACAATCTTAATCAGAATTCCACGACGAAAGCTCTGTCCGATTAAGACACTTTGACGCTCATACAGTATCAGATAATATCTTATGCATTGCAAGAATTTATGTTAAATTTTTTTGTAGGATATATTTGTGGGAAGGGAACACTTTTTTCTTCTTTTTTTAAATGACAATTTCTCCAAGAAAAAGACGTAAATAAGTGTTTTATTTGTTAAAAAATGAGATAAATATATTCTTCGAATAAATCAAGAGTTATTTGTTTTTTTTTTTTTGGTAAAAAATAAACAAGGGTTATCAGTTGTAAGTATATAAAACCGATGAGTTGAATTGACGATTAACAATATGATATTACGATTACTAATATTTTATATGTAGCAATATTAGCGTATTTAATTAGTAATATGTTATATTTTGGAAGTTTAATAACGTAATAATAATAATAATAATAATAATAATAATAATAATAATAATAATAATAATAATAATAATAATAATAATAATTTGGGTTGGACTTCTTGACAGCCCTCAACAGGCCCATGAGCGGCCCATACAGAACGGGTTCTTCATCTTCTGCTCCTTTTCATTGGTTGATGGAAGTCATTTATTTGGACATGACAGGTGGGCCCCATAATATCTATCGACCAATCCAAAAACGCCCACCCAGATAAAACAGATAAGGCCCGGATCTCTCTCGTTGGCTAAACCGAATCATGCAAATGAATCTGATCCGTTCAATTATTCACGTCACCAAATCCAACGGTCGATACGAAATCACTCAACGAGCCCCACAAAATATCAAAATCGGAAAACTGCAAAGCTTATAGCTTCACGTTCTCTCTTGCCATTTCAATCGCACAAACACACTTTGTCGGGTCGGGTCAAGAGACGATGGCGACTGTCACGACGCAAGCCTCGGCAGCGGTTTTCCCACCATGCGCCTCCAAACCGAGATTCCGCACCGGTTCTTCCGGTAAATTGAACCGGGCATTGTTGGTTAAACCGGCCGGTTCTTCCACTAAATCGGCATCGTTCAAGGTTGAAGCCAAGAAAGGAGAATGGTTGCCCGGTCTGGCCACTCCGGCTTACCTCAACGGCAGGTACTTTACATATATGAATACACGTAGTATGTGTGTGCAGTTCATTTTTGGCGCAAAATCTTATGTTTGCTAGCCACCATTATTTCGAGATCTGAATATATATTTATGGGACGACACGTACGTTTTGGTTTCTGAGTTGGAACAATCGTAAAAAAACCCAACCCCAAATGCATGAATGATCAAATGGAAGAGGACGAAAACTCACATAACCAACTGGTTCGGTCGGTATTAAACCGGTACCGGTACAGCTATAACCAAAACGTTACGGTACGGAATTAATGCCAATGTGTTACAAATCAAACTCCCTCCTAACTCTCTGTTTTCGGTCTAAATATGAATCAAGAACTCTCTAAACTTCAATCTGAAATTTTCCAGAAAGCTTTTCATTCATACATAGAAAACTTACAGAAGGTAACATACATATACAGCACTTCAGAAAACTGACTAAAAACAGTTACTGAATAAAACCAACACCTACATAACTTCAACACGTCCCTGAAACTGAAAAACATAAACCAGTTTTAAGTAAACCGAAACTAAACCATAATCTACCAACTCAAATCAGCATTGACTTGAGTCACTCACTTCTGCCAACAATCTCCTCCTTGACTCGAGGCTTCGCAGACATTCCAATCAAACTTCGAAGAAACTCAAACCTGTTTGGATGAAATGCCTTTGTAAACAGATCTGCAATTTGACTTTCAGTTCTGCAATGAGCAATCTTCACTTCTCCTTCTTCTTGGACTTGTCTCAAATCGAAATACTTCACCTTTATGTGTTTTGTTCGACCATAGAACACCGGATTTTGCGAGATAGCAATGGCAGCTTGGTTGTCGACCAAAATCTGCGTTGGTTCAGTACAAGACAGAGACAAATCCTTCAAAATCTTTCTGATCCAAGTAGCATGGTTTGATGCCGCTGTGGCAGCTATAAACTCGGCTTCTGCTGTGGATTGAGCCACCACTTCCTGCTTCTTCGAGCTCCACGAGAAGCACCCTGTTCCAAACTTAAAACAGAATCCCGTGGTACTCTTCATATCATCTAACGATCCTGCCCAATCGCTGTCAGCAAAACCGCTTAACACCAGCTCTTCTCCCTTTCTGTAACTGATCCCAAAGGTTGGTGTTCCTTTGAGATACTTGAGAACTCTCTTCGCTGCAACCATGTGCTCCTTTTGAGCACAATTCAGAAACCTTGATAGTGTATTCACTGCAAACAAAATGTCAGGTCTTGTTGCAGTTAAATACATTAAACAACCTATCAAACTTCGATAAACTCCTTCATCTGCAGGTTCAGAATCTTCGAGCCTCTGCAACTTCGCCTTCTGATCCATAGGAGTTCTTGTGCCCTTACAAGAATCCATCTTAAACCTTTTGAGAATCTGCTTCAGATACTTTTCCTGACAAATGAAGACTTCATCAACACTCTGTAATATCTCGATGCCAAGAAACTGAGAGATTTTTCCCAAATCTGACATTTCAAACTCAGAACTCAATTTCATCTTTAACTCCTCAATCTTCTGCAAATTGTTCCCTGTGATCAACAAATCATCTACATACAGGGAAACAATAGTCACAACTTCCTTTTCAGATCTAACATAAAGCGTGTACTCACTTAAACTTCTTTCAAACCGACACTTCTGTAGATACTCATCAATCCGCCCATACCAAGCTCTAGGACCTGTTTTAGGCCATATAAAGCTTTCTTGAGCAGGTACACCTTCTCCTCCTTTCCCTCGACATTAAAACCTGGTGGTTGCTCCACATATGTCTCCTCCTTAAGCTCTCCATTTAGAAAAGCAGATTTGACATCCATGTGGAAGATTTCCCACTCTTTCTGTGCTGCAACTGATAGCAATAATCTGACTGTATCAAGTCTCACCACAGGAGCGAATGTCTCAGAATAATCTATGCCCCAAACCTGAGCATACCCCTTCACAACAAGTCTAGCCTTGAACTTGTGAACAGACCCATCTGGATTTAGCTTCGTTCTATAAACCCACTTCACACCTATAACTTTCTTATTCAGAGGTCTGTCAACTAGAGTCCAAGTGCCTGTTTTCTCGATCATTTTCAGCTCCTCCTCCATTGCATCTACCCATTTCTGATCCTTGACAGCTTCCTCAAAACCTGTTGGTTCCATAACAGCTACATTACATCTTGCATAGATGTCATTTAGTGATCTGGTTCCTCTCACAGGCTGATGATCAAACTCTCCCTCATCATCATCTTCTTCTCCGAAGGATTGGTGAGGTTCATCAAGAACAGGTTGTTCAGGTACAACATCAGTTCGAGATAAATCCTCGTCTGCAATATCTTCAGAGATTCTCTCATGCTGATTAGTCTTGGACCAATCCCAGCTTTCTGTTTCACTAAACTTCACATCTCTACTCACTATCACCTTCTTTTTATCAGGGAGATACACTCTGTAAGCTTTAGAAACAAGACTATAGCCCACAAAGATTCTCATTTCAGCTTTCTGATCTAACTTATCTCTCTTTGGATCAGCAACCAATGCATAACAAATGCAGCCAAACACTTTCAGGTTTATGACAGAAGGTTTTTTACTTGTCCATGCTTCCAAAGGAGTTTTATTGTCAAGAGCTTTGGTTGAAAGTCTGTTCTGCAGAAAAACTGCAGTAGAACATGCTTCAGCCCAAAACATCTTTGGTAATCCCTTCTCTTGCAACAAACACCGAGCCATCTCCACAATTGATCGATTTTTCCTTTCACTGACCCCGTTCTGTTGAGGAACATAAGGTACAGAAAAATGATGTTTGATGCCAACTTCTTCACATATGGTTCTGAATCTACCAGAAGTGTATTCAGAACCATTGTCAGATCTGATTACCTTCATTATGCGACCACTCTCTGTCTCAACTTCACTCTTGAATTTCAGAAAGATCCCATCCACTTCAGACTTCTGTTTCAAAAAGTAAATCCAACACAATCTCGAATAATCATCAATAAAAATGATGAAATACTTACTTCCATTCAGTGAGTCGACAGGCATAGGGCCACACACATCTGTATGGATGAGCTCAAGCTTATCTTTAGCTCTCCAACTTGAGGACTTGAATGGTAGCCTTTTCTGCTTTCCCAATGAACAGGCTTTGCAATCTGCAACTTCTTTCTGTAAATTTGGAAGACCCTCTACTAAACCATTCTTAATCATATACATGATCCCTTGACCATGAAAATGTCTCAGCCTCTTGTGCCAAATCTCTTCTTCTGACACATTTCCACTAAATGCTGCATGTTCCTCGTTTCCAAATGTAAACGAGTAACTCTTGTTCCTCATCTTGATCCTGAATAACGA